TTCAAGGCACTCTTCTGGGTCTCACGATTACAATGCTCACTGCACTTATCTCTGTGTCTCCACAAATGGTTCCCTGGACATTTTTTATTACAGCACCTGTCACCCTGTAGCACTACTGTTTGTGGATACATCTGTCTCCAGCACTAGAATGAGCTTCCTAGGGAAGGGATGTAATCTTCTTGGTTATTGTATCCCCAGAATGGTGGCTGGCACAGAGTCAACACTCAACAGTGTCTGTTAAGTGGATGAATGAGTTCCCGACCAGTAAGAATAAGCTTGTGCCTAGTAGAGGGCCTGGTGGTGACAGCACAGTGGAGAGCAAGGGTCCTGGACTGCCTGTGTGGCTTTGGACAACTTACTTGCCATCTTTGTACATGAGTTTTTCCATGTAAAATGGGGTAAAGTGGGGATAATTACAGTAGCTACCTATCAGGCTATTAGGAAGATTTAGTGTTGGCAAAGTGCTTAGCACAAGGCCTAGCACCTAGCTGGTGCACAATAATTGTTAGCTACTAAAATCAGACAAGAGGAGGAGGAGCTTTGTTAAGAAAATTTTTAATCTATTAATATCATCTTCCTGCCTGGAAAACAAATGAATCCTGAATGTGTCTGAGGCTCAGGTTTGTTGCAAAGGACCTGCCACTGAGATAGTGTCTGGATGTTAGGGCTTGAGGGTTGAGAGCTTCTAGGCATCTTCTCCCTCCTGTGAGTTCACAGAACACCAACATTCTGACCCAATGATGAGAAGCTGACCAGCAAGAACAGACAGGCCTCCCAGGAGGAGGTGCTTTGGGAAGAAGTTTGCTCTGCTGGGGCCCCTGGGACAGTGTAGAGGAAGCCTTGGGGCCCATGACCATTTAAGGAATGTGTATATTTGAGTTTCACGGGATTTTGAAGGGGGATCCCTTCTGAATAGCATCTGAGGCAGGGATGGGAGTGAACAGCCTTTTGAACTGCCCAGCTCCATCTCAGCAGCCTGCAGGCCATTACTCAGAACCTGCCCAAATGAAGCTACTCGCTTCCCCCAAGGCTTCCTAGCATTTCCCAGCCTGTTCTTCTGCCAGCCAACCTCGTTAATTATCAGTGACCTTGTTCTCTGGCCTCCAGGCATCCAGTGAAGGGGATTTTGTCTGAAGGAGGCTCCAGGGCCCAGCATCCTTACCCTGAGCTCCTGGGCTCTAAACACTCCTCTGATTGACATGCTGGAGGCCAGAGACCACGATGCTCAGCTTGGATATAAAATGCTAAACTACTCTCAGCACGTTGGAAGCAGGGGGCCTAATTTCACTCACTAAAGTACTTAATTTCACACATTTCTTTTTTCATTAAGCATTCCTGCTGCTCAAACCCTTGGGCCCATGCTACTTTTACTCATGGCCTTGGAATAATTTAAATTAGTCTGGGTGAGTTAATATTTAAATCTAGGAAGACTGACATGGGCATTTGACCATGGAGGAAGTGATTTGCAATGCCCGATGAGGAGCTACTATATTGGTTAGAAAAGTCTGTTTTCTACAAATAATTTGCATTTCAGATTCATAGAGCTTTTAGTGCTTGAAATTATCCCAAAACCCCAATAAAATCAAGGTCTAAGGTCACAAACCCAGTCAGTAGCCAAGCTAGAACCTGAACCCAGGGCTTCCTGAATTACCGCCAGTGATGGCCCTAAGTGATAGCCTGTGATTCTCCTAGTGCCCAGCTAAAAGCAGTTCCACTAAGACATTAGGAATTTTAATTTGGGGTAGAGGAAAGCAACAAACATTATTTTCTCCAGCCTATAATGGTCTTTCTAATAACATTTTTTAAATATCTATTTGAACAGGCACAGAAGAAAGTACATTTCAGTGTTAAGAAAATTATTACTTCACTGAATTACCACACAAATTTTGAAAGGGTAAGCTTGAGAAGTATGGCTTTGTTAAGGAAAAAAAAAAAGGCAAGGTGGAGGTAGGAGTGTCTTGTAAACAGACCTGCAACGTCTGGGGATATTTCCTACTGTGGGGACTCCAACTGGATCCAGACATGCACATCTTAGAATCTGTTCCATCAAAGCCACGACTTCTCTCAATAGCTGCTCTCAAATTACTTTTCTCCTTAGAAAAACATTTAGTTTCAATTCCTTTTATTTAATGGACCATTTTCACCAGAAAAGGGAAAACTCTGATTAAAACAGTCCCTGGGCAGAGTCCCAGAGGAGTAAGGATAATCAGCTCATTACCCGAATTCGGCCAGATTTCGGGCCTGTGACCAAGTCAGCCAGGCTTCAGCCCCCATGACTATTTGTCTGCTCCTAATATCATCCCTGACTCCAGGCTTTTTAAGCAGCTGGGTCTTCAAAGGCAACTGTATTATATTGTGGTTATCTGCCAGTGTGCTTGGGTTTGAGGTCTGGCGTGAGAGGAGGGAACATCAAGCAAATGGTTGGAGGTGGAACTGTGGGGGACTGCTGGGTAGACATGCTTTGCTGTAATATCAGGTGTATGGAGATAGTGGGAGAGTATGGGAAGGTTTGACGGCCTAGCTTTGCAGTCTGGACTTATCTTGGGGTTATAAGGAATATACTGCAGGGGGAAGTGACCATGATCTGACCTGTACTTTAGGAAGCAAGAAGATGGAATTGAAAACTGAGAGGACAGGCTGGATCTGAGAGTCCGCCAGAGGAAGATCTGCACAACTGTGGTGATCAGGGTGACAGCCCGAGGAGTCAGGGGTGCAAGAGAAGGAGTACTGGGCAATGGTGGGACTGTGAGGTAGGGAGAGACAGGGAGGCCAGCTTGGGATATGTGGTATTTCTGGCACTGGCAGGATATCCACTTAGAGCAGTCTCTCCGCATGGTGGGAATTCAGCTTTGAAGCTCTTAAGAAAAATAGGAAGAGATACACCTGTGGGACATTTTTGCAATGATATGAAGGACAAAGCTTCAGGGGTGGAGGCACTTACTCAAGGAGAAAGGGAAGAATGAGAATGGCTGAAACCTTGGAGAGCAGCAGCCTTTAAGGGATGGGGGGAGGATAAGGAGCAACAAAGGAAGCTGAGGAGGAGCAGTGGGAGAGGCAGGAAGCACTTGGGAAGGCAGGCCGGCAGACGCACATGACGTCAGAGCCAGGGGAGTGCCGAAAGAGGCCAGCGTGTTAGGGAGCATGTGTTCAGTGAGCTGGAACTGTTTCACTAACCAACCAGTTAGTGATTCTTTTATCACATTAACCTCCTAAGTACGCAGGTTAAGTGTAACATGGTATAACACAGAAAGGGCTGGTTCTGCATCAAATCTTGCCCAGGTTTGAGTAGCTGTAAGATTCTTTGATGTCATTTACAAAATGCTCAAGAGTCTTTTCTAAACATCACCTGCTTTGAACTCAATTTTATTTCCTGGAGAGGCAGAATAACACAGTGGTCAAGAGCATGGACTCTAGGGGCAGACCTTCTGGATTCAAATTCCAGACCTCCTGCCTCCTAGTTTGGCACATTACAATTTTCTGTGCCTAATGAAACATTAGCTATAAAACTGGATAATGATAGAATGTTCTTCATAGGGCTGTTGCAAACTTTAAGGGAGTTAATATATACATATATATACAGAACACTGCCTAGCACATAGTAGGTGCTCAAAGTGTCATTGAATAGTTAAGTTTTAATAATCTAAACCAATTTAGTTTTAATAATCAGTGAATATAAAGATGCAGAATAGCACTATGCAATAGAAACACAGTGCAAGCCACAATAAGCCACATATTTAACTTTAAATTTTCTAGTAGCCAAATTATAAAAGAAACGGGTGAAATTAATCATATATTTTATTTAACCCAATATATCTAAAATATTATCATTTCAACATGTAATTAATATAAAAAATTATTGGGACATTTTACATTTGTTTTGTCTTTGAAATCTGGTGTGCATTTTACACTTATACAGCACCTCTCAATTCAACGGGCCACATTTCAAGTGCTCAATAGCCACATGTTGGACAGTGCAGGTACAGAAAGAAACACACCAAACTGTTCGTCTAGGCTACCTCACAAGGCTGGTTTAGAGGTGGGGTGGGTAAAGTAACATTTTGTTTACATACCTCTACATTGTTTAATGTATAACAATGAGAACATACCTCTTTAAAATCCAATGAACTATAAAAGAGTAAGAAAAAATTATTTTATATTAATTAATGCTCACTGAAACAATCCCAAAATTAATCACACTGAAACCATCATAGAAGTACAGAGGAAAGTATTCTCATCTGGGAGTTAGGAGAACTGGATTCTAGGTCTAATGTGGGACCTTCAGAAAGCCCCTTCCCATTCCCGGACCTCAGTTCCCTTACATTTCATTTAGAACTAGATGATTCCCTAAGACCTCCCAGTTCTTAAAATATATAAATGTTAGCCACCATACTTCTCCCATATTGCCTCCCAGAATTTATCAATGGATGAGAACTCTCTCCTCACTTTTGGAGATGGTTTATCTGTAAGCAGAGGGTCAGGTGACACACCTTCTTGCAGTCTGAGGATTTCCTGATTCTAAATCGGCCTTTGTTTGTTTGTTTTTTTTTTTCCTGTGAGGAAGATCAGCCTTGAGCTAACATCCATGCCAATCTTCCTCTTTTTGCTGAGGAAGACTGGCCCTGATCCAGCATCTATTGCCAATCCTCCTCCTTTTTTTGTTTTTCCCTTTTTCTCCCCAAAGCCCCAGTAGATAGTTGTATGTTATAGTTGCTGTATGTGGGACACCGCCTCAGCATGGCCGGAGAAAGGGTGCCCTGGTGCGCGCCGGGGATCCGAACCTGGGCCGCCAGTAGCGGAGCGCGAGCACGTAACCGCCAAGCCACCAGGCCAACCCCCTAAATCTGCCTTTGACGACACGTTTCAGTTTGCTCACAGCTATGAAGGTCCTCAGCTCCAAAGACCTTATATTTACATTTGTACCCTGGTTCCCTTCGTGTCCCCTGTGGTCACAAATGCCAAGGGAACTGAAAAACGAGCCTGACCTTCTCACTCTCCCGCAGGAATGATCTGGTCTGAATGCAAGGAAATCTGGGAGGAGGGGCCGCGGGAGTACGTGCTGCACCTGTGGAACCTGCTGGATTTCGGGATGCTGTCCATCTTCGTGGCCTCCTTCACAGCGAGGTTCATGGCCTTCCTGAAGGCCAGCGAGGCCCAGCTGTACGTCAACCAGCACGTGCAGGACGACTCGCTACACAACGTCTCGCTTCCGCCGGAAGTGGCGTACTTCACCTACGGTGAGTCGGCAGGTGCTCCGCGCACGTTCTGCCTGGCGCGCTTCCGGGGCGTGGCCGTGGGCTCAGCGTGGCTGGTCCCGCAGCTGGTGATTTGTGATGTGGCCGGCTTTGGTCACCTCCATTGCCAGCGCAGGCACCCCTCCAAACAAAGTCCCGCTGCCTGCAGTACAACCAGCTGAACAGAACGTGGAATTAGTGACTATAAGAAATGCATCTTTTTGTGTTATGAAGAATGGATTGGTTTTGGAAAGGCTCTTGGAACGTATCTGTGGGATGTTTTTTCTTTTTTTTAAAGAAAAATCTCGTTTCTGATGTGGATCCAGGAGCCCTAAGGGGGAATGTAAATCTGGAAAATTTTTTTTCTGTATTGGATCCCTATGTTTTCTGCAAAGATAAATCCTGCTTTCCCAGTTCAAAAGTTCTTTTCTCCTGGCAAGTTAGGTTCTTAGGAGATGCCTTAAGTCTTTCAAACCACAAGACTATACAGTGTGATGTAGTAGATTGAAATTTTAGGAAAAATAATAAGAGTTATAGCATTCATTTATTAAGGACCTACCAGGTGCCAGGAACCATATAGACATTTTACACCATAAACTTCAATCCTTGCAATAGCTCTGCAAAAGGGATCTTTTTTGTCCTATTTTATAGATAAAGAAACAGGTTTTCATGACAGGGCCCACAATGTTCCCAGAAATACAGGAATGCCTTGGATAGCAAGGGATCCTGGCCAGACGTGAACTGACAACCATGCAGAACGGCATAGTGCTTATGTTCCCAGACTTTGGAGTTAGAGAGATCTGGATTCAAATCCTACTTCTGTAGCTCACTGTGAGACCTTGTTTACTTAACTTTTCTGAGCCTCCATGTTCTCATATGTAAAACTGGGATTATGTCAGAAAATGTGTTTTGAGGATTAAATAAGATAGTGCTTATGAAGAATTTTGCATTGTGCTCTGAAAATATTAAATGCTCACTAAATGGTAACAGTTATTATCACTACTACCTCTTGGATCTTTCTTGCTCCAGCACTGTACTTTCTGGACCAAAAGAGAAAGATGAGTGGGGAGAAGAAACAGTAGATATTTGTTATTGTTACCAGTAAACCACCTGGACACTTAATAGGCACTCATTAATGACAGCTGCTGTATCATGAAGGGTTTGAGTGTCAAATGTCCCTGATAGATGAAGTCACGGGGCTCCTCTGACCTCAGAATCTTCCTGGTCAGGTACAGCAATGATCCGCAGAGGGTTGGCCACTTAACACAAAAGTTGAGTTTCTGCCCACATTCAATGCAGATTGTGTTACACAGATTATGTTACATGTAAATATGGTAGGGGAATACCCATTGAGAAATGGAGAGTCTTGTAGTATTATATATCATCCACTCTTCATTTGTTAGGTTAGCAAATTCAGACTTTTTAGAAGCAAAATGGGCTTGTATATTTTCCCCTCTGTGCTGCTCAGGGTTCATCAATGAAAGACGAGAGAATCTTGATATTGTGTTGGATACTTTTCTTAATGCCACGATTCAGGCTGCAGCATTGTCCACTTGTGACTTGTATTCCTTTTATGGATTGTATTAAGATCTCACCCAGCCCAAAGTATTGCACATTATTGCCCTTGTTTTGTGGATCACCTGTGCCCTTGGAAATCTTTTGGATCTCTCAGTGTTCACTTGTGCTCTAGTTGCAGGAGAAGAGAGCCCTCTTGTGGCCGGTCAGGCAGTGGTACCTTCCAACCTCTACAGCACCAAGGAGGCAGATCCCCATTTTTCAGGTTGTAATAGAGCAATTTTTCTCATGGAAAGAGCTCCAAGAAGAAGAAAATCCCTTTGTCTGAATCATCACAGTGCTGTTTTCTTTTACATCCATCACAACTCTTACAAGCCAGTCCAAGTAAAATATTTTTCACTAAAAGTTCTGACCTGGTCACCATGGTCTGACAACAGCTAAATCTATCTTAATAGATTATAGGAGTAGCTTTTATTATTCCAGCTGAGGTTTAAGATGCTAAATTATAGGAGGCAGAAAAAAGAAATTCCTTTTTGGTGTCTGTTTGAAGAAGGCAAGTCTTGTTTCATGTTATCTAAATGTGTTATTTATCCATAGAGGGCGACAGATATATTGGAAGAACATAATTTGTTCTCCTTTCTTGTCTTTTGTGGACTTCTGAGTTATGACCTTGATGAGAACATAGAGTTTATAATTTTATTACATTTCCAAATTTAATTTAAAATGCACTATGTGAAGCTTTGTGGCAAATAGAGGCCTTGAGTCCCTTACTAAAGGTTTCTTACTGCTTTTTATTATTATAATTAACAGAGTCTAGCTTTGAAAATAGAGAACAAAATTCTTCTTCTTCTGTCTCTCTTGGGGTGCCAAGAATGGCTATGTAATATCCTCACTGTCTGCATTTACATGGCTCTGAAAAGGACCCCATACCCCAAATCCAATCTTAAAAATGCAATAATAATATCTACTCTACAGGGCTGTTGTGAAAATTACAGCTAATGTAAGTGTAAGGGCTAATTTAGGTTTCTCAATGTTTTTCAATTTAAGTTTCACTTAGCACATTTCTCAACAGGGACCCTATTGTCTTTTTCAGCAGGGCAGTTTTCATGATACAGGTCTGTCTAGAGCATTGCAGGATATTAGCATCCCAGTAATACTCCTACCCTGTCATTGTGACAACTGCCGGCACCCACACACACTTCCCCAGGAGGAAGGTGCTGCCCTACTTAAGAATCACTGTATGCCCTGCCACATAGTAGGCAGCTTATTAGTGATAGATGCTGCTCCTTGTACCATTAGAACCGCAATAGGAACACTTTACAGATTTGCTATGCCGCAGGAGTAACCCCAGGGCAGCTCAGCCCCTCACCCATGATCACAAGCAGAATCTCTCCAGCCCAGGACAGTTCCCAGGACTCTTGCCACCTTGAACAGGGCTATCATGGCAAATCTGGATGACTGGTCACTACTTTGGGATCCTTAGCTCAGTTGGGGAGCAACTGTCCCAGACACATACTGCCTGAGAAACAAAACCCAAGAACATTTTCTCAGGCAAGAGCCTTCCGATTCTTGGCCCTCAGGTGAGCTCATTTGTTCTGATTTGTGGCAAGTTTAAACTTGTGGTTAGGATTTCATCCGATCATTTAACCAACATTTATCAGCACCTGCTATATGTCAGCCAGACCCTATGCTAAGCACGTTACATGTATGATTTCATGTCATCTTCACTCCAGCTCTGTGTGGTTGACGATATTATCCCCAGTCTACAGATGGGGAAAATGAGGCTCAAAAAGGTTAATTGACTTGCTCAGAGTCATACAGCCAGTGAGTAGAAAGGCCACTTTCAACTTCAGTTCTGTCTAACTCCAAGTCCATGCTCTTCCCCATGACCTCCTCATGATGCTTACCAGCCAATGGGACAGGCCCTGCTTGGGGAGCTCAAACACTGGTAAGGAGGACAGAATAGCAAGCAGCATGGTAAGTTCCATGACAGAGGGGTTCACAGGATACTGTGGGAGCAGAAAGGGGAATGGGGAACCTGTCCCAACCCATGGGGGTCACAGAAGGCTTCCTGAAAGAGATGACACCTGCACAGAGTCTTAAAGGATGATTGAGAATGAAGCAGACCTTCAAGTGAGGGAAGGGTGTTCCAGACAGATGGGCCAGCATGTTCCAAGAGGATGAGCGGCACCTTCAGTGTATTGGGATTAATTTAAAGACAAGGGCAGGAATGGCAAGTGATGAGGTTAGAGACCTCTAATCAGGCCTAACTGGTTTCTCTTCCAGAACAGATCCTGTCCACCAATGAGTAACCCAGATTGTTTTCTTTTAGCCAGGGACAAGTGGTGGCCTTCAGACCCTCAGATCATATCAGAAGGGCTGTATGCAATAGCTGTCGTGCTGAGCTTCTCTCGAATCGCGTACATCCTGCCAGCCAACGAGAGTTTTGGGCCCCTGCAGATCTCCCTGGGGAGAACTGTGAAAGATATCTTCAAGTTCATGGTCATTTTCATCATGGTATTTGTGGCCTTCATGATTGGGATGTTCAACCTATACTCCTACTACCGAGGTGCAAAGTACAACCCAGCGTTTACAACGTGAGTATCCTAGGGCTCTCCCCTAGGGACTCTCTGGGCTTCCCTGGGATCCTTGGGAGTCTCCTGCAGGTGGCTCCTTGCAGATACTCAGGTTTCCTTGGTATTTATAAAGGTTAAAGGCAACTTCATTCAGACTGGCTTACAGTTCAGTGGCTTACAGGAGTTGGAAGAACAGAAGAGCTGGGTTAAATCATCACTTTGCCACTTACATGCTGTGTGGCCATGAGTATGTTCCTTAACTTCTCTGAGTCTTAGTTTCCTCATCTTTAAAATGAGGATAATAATAGTGCCTGCTTCATAGGGATAGTGTGAGGATTCAGTGAGATGATATAGCTGCCACACAGTAAACTCTCAATAAATGGAAGGAATTATTATTATTGCTATTATTATTGTCTTAGCCTGTGTTGTCTAGAAAAGAGAGCCCTGAGCAAATCTTGCATGCCAACACTTTATTGGAGCAAGGGAGTTGCAATCCAAATGAAATATTGCTGAAGGAAAAAGGAAAGTGAAGTGTGGGAGGAGGGAGAGCACATACAGGTTGCTGACCTGGCCACCATCTTCTGGAATATACAACTTGGTCATCACAGACTTCCCCGGGGAGATTATATGGAAACACCACATTTCAGAATAGGCCATCAGAATGAGAAATAGTTTATCAGCCCAATCTTTTCATCTGCTGTGTTTCATTAGTCAAGTTCACTCCACAAGTCTCACCTTGTGGGAAGACTCACCTGCACCTCCCAGGCAGCCCCTGGGAAAGCCATGTCCACACAACGTGGGAGGTGGGTCTGCAAGTGGGTGCAGGTCAGCAGCTCTCCGTGCCTGGCTGGGCAAGCCAGCACCTGTGCGTGGGCACTGAGCAAGTCCTACAGCATCATGTGCCTCAGCAGCGGCAGGGAGGGTCCAGGCAAGGGAGGCAAGAGGCAGGTGCCTGAGCGTGAGGCAGGGCACTGTGAGGCCGACTGATACAGGGGCCCAGAAGTAGCTGCTGCAGGCAGAGCAAGATGATGCCATGGCCTTCCCCATGGAGGTGGTGTTGGAGCTCACTGAGCCTGTGTCCACAAAGACCCAGAGCTCCTCCCCTCTGCAGGGGATGCCAGGCAGTCTCCTGGAGGGCCATCAGTAGCTGTGAGCAGTGGTCTAGTAGAAGAGTCAGGCAGACCTGGGTTTATGTCCTGGCACAAGCATTTACTGGCTCATGACTTAATGCCAAGTCATTTGATTTATCCGAGCCTCTGTGTCCTCGCCTGTAAGATGGAAATGACTTCCCCCCTTGTTTATAAATACCTTCATGAATAAATGAGGTAGTTATGTAAAGTGCCCAAAACACAGAAGTGTTTCCAGTCTAGGTCTTCCCCAGGCCCACCCAGGCCCAGAACTTCTCCCTGCCTTCATCAAGCTCCTGCCCAGAACCTGGAGGGAAGGACAGGCAGGTCTCCAGCCACAAGGACAGCACCTGGGATCAGCAGGGCTAAGCACTTCCTGACACTTGTCCCCAAAAACCCTGAGTGGCCTGGAAATTATTTTCCAGCCAGTGACAATGACTGAGCCTCAACCACGCAGGTTCCCTGGGCAATTCCCACGTTGCAGCAGGGCCTCACTTTACCCTTCTTCTGGAGGAATCACCAGGTCAAGTACAGCAGTGAATCGGTCGGACTGCTTTAGACCACTCCAATACTCAGTGATTAACTGCTAAAAAAATGAAATAAGCTTGAATCCCCCAAAAGCAAATTTGATCTAGATCTGCTAGAGGCAAAGCCAAACATATCCACTCAGTAAGGGCTGCACTGTTATTGAGCAACAGTCAAGATGTCAGTCAATAAACAAGGGCTCTTACCCTCTGTGGTCAGGCCCTGACGTCCCTCCTGCGTTTCCAGTCTAGCACGATGCCTTGCACACAGTGTCATCGCTAAGTGCTTCATAAACAAGAATGAGGGAATGAACAGGAGAGATGAAGCCAGGTTCAAGGCAGCAGGGTAAGCAGTAGACTGGGAGTCTGACCACGTGGACTTCTATCCCATTTTGACTGCCTTGGGTGTTCTGTGCAATCCTCCTTCCTGCCCCTTACAGGGAACCTGTATGACCAGCCCACACTTCCTCAGAAGGTCAGTGCCATGACACATGGGAAAATGAAGAAGGTCATGACTTAAGAGCAGGGCTGACCCGGCCACAATTCTCTGCTGGATGCAGCACAGCCAGTCTTAAGCAGGAGACTTTGGGATCAGGAAAAGTCATGAGAAACAGTGAAAGCAGGAGAAAGGGGCAAAGCAAGTGGCTTGTCCTGTGTCCCGGGAACTGGATGGAGACTTTTTCTAGATGTGAGAGACCCAACCAAAGAGGACCCCAAGCCCTGTGGGATGGGGAAGGGAAGAAAAGGTGCAGTGGCAGCAAGCACAGTGAAGAAAGGACAGGATATTTATCACTTTGGCAGCTCCTAAAATGGGATGTGCAGCTATGAATAGGATTTGATTGAACAAGAAAACAATAGAGCAGTGAAGTGGAGAGGAAAAAATGGATTCTTATAAATATCATCTCTTACCTTTTGACTGCTCTCTGGAGCGTGTTACCAAGAGATCTTCTTTGATAAGCAAAAAGCCACGTTAGGATAAATGAGACTCATGGTTTAGGGGATTCAGAGCTATTCTGAGTGCCAGCTCTGCTGCTTATAGAGTTAAATGACCCCTCCCAGGTGAATGTCTACTCAGAGCAGCTCATGTCCAGGCCACCCTGCCCAGCTTGGGATCCTCCCTTTGGCCCACCCCCAGGGGGCCTTCTCTTTGTGGAATTTTGAGCTTCTAGGGTAAGATGGGTCCTCTCATCTGTTTCTATGGAGTTTGAAGACTCAATCCTACAGAAGGGAGTTTGGGCTGGAGCAGACTGCAGGTATCCTGCCCCCATCTTTCATCCCCCAACCCCACCACTGCCATGTTCAAGGACAGCTTGTATTCCTAAAGGCTGTTCAGGAGTCCAGTTTGAAAGTCAGCTGTTAAGACCCAACAGAGAGCTTGTCATAAGAGGCCTGTTCACCCTAGGGGTACAGTCCCAGGACAGCTCACAAAAGCCAGTCCCACCTGAATCTCATCATGTTATAGTACCATCCCAAATGGGAGGAGTAGGGACATCTTGGGACAAAAGGAAAGGTTTCTCTACCAACCAGAGACCCCCAACCCTCAGCCAAGCTCTGTCCTAACTCCTAGTGTGTTCCAGTTCCAGAATCACATACCTCCCTCCCCACCCCCAAATTCCCATTCCCTCCATCCAGCAGACCTCAGTGAGGGGGTTAGAAGAAAATAGACAGATTAAACTAATTCTGCCTATGGTATGAATAAACACACAGTGTGAACAGTCTTAATTGAGATCAGTGGATCTCTGGTGGGATTGAGAACCCCACCAGAATCATCTGGGAGATGGTGAAACTTGGGACTTCCAGGCCTCACCCCTTAGAGAATCTAATTACAGTAGCTCCAAGTAGGGCCTAGAAATCTGTATTAACAAGCCACTGGAGGATTCTGATATAGGTGATCTTAGGACCACACGGTGAGAAATGCTGATCTGGTCCAACCTCAGCATTATTCAGATGGGGAGATGGAGCCCACTCTCAGCTATGTGCATTTCAAGAAAGAAGAGCTTGTTAACCTCAGTATATTATTGGCAGAATTTTAGGCCCTGTGCAGGCGAGGGGTGGTTTTTGTAAGCACAAGTAAGAATAGGTAGCCAGATCTACTGGGGAGCGAGCTCTGGAGTCAGATCCTCCAAGCAATTCCCAACTTTTCAGCCTCCTTCCCCTTCAGAACTAAGGGTCCTCTCAAAGGTCTGGGTTATTTTCTACAGCTGCTTCTGTGTCACGGGCTGGCCTGAGGGAGGCGTAGGGATGTGTGTGCATGGGTCATTGGTTGGTGAGCTGGGCCTGTCTGGGCATGACAGATAGTACACCTGCTGGCAGCCCATTATCTCCCAGCACTTCTATTAGAAACTGCAGATGACCAGAGGGGAGAAAAAGGAGGTGTTCTGACAAGTTTTATGCTCTCCGAGTACAAAATCAAAGTATCCCAAGACGGGGGCGGTAGAGCAAGTGGAGAGAAAGTCACCTGAGAATCCTCTTCCTTTAAGAAAGTCTTTCAGAAAAGTTCTCAATTCTGGCTAGGAATTCCATTAGGAATTTTGTTCTTTTAGGAATATATCTTTGATTTTATCATGGAAGTCAGTAGACAAATGGGATTTGCTTTTTGGAGGCTTGTTTTATAGCAAACTTTGCTGAAATGCACATATTCCATAAAGCAAAGACTTTCTGCTTAGAGATTGTATGGAAACCCTGGGATCCCAGCACTCTGGTTACAGTGTTAGAAAAAGAGAGACAAAAAGTCCTTGGCTCACTGATGAAATACAGCTGGGTGAGAATGCACAGAAAAGAGTGGCTTTCCCTATACTCTGATTGGTGACCATGGTGGGACAGGTACACAGAGAAGGGGAGGGTCTGGGGACAATGAGGTGACCCAGAGCAGAAAAGTGAGGGGCTCTTTAACACAACTCATGATGGGCTCCTAGTCCCCCTTTGAGTCAGCTTAGCCTCCCCCACATAACTCTGTTTGGAGATTAAATGTGGGCCCTGACCCTCAAAAGATTGTCCCAGACAATCTTTTCTACAGGCTGTTGTGGAATCAGCTTCATAGCACAGCTGAGTTGAGACTTTTCTAATCAAAAATAATACCTCTCCTAAGGTTATTCTGCCTCCTCAGGAATCATTTTAATGGAAGGAGCTTCAGCAGTGCTAGGCAAAATTAGCAGCTTCTGCTTTCCATGGCAGTTATGGGAAATTTCCACACTCTATATGCAGGGAGATTCTTATGCCCATCGGGGGCAGAAGACACTGATTCAGCTCCCCCCAGCTCAACAGGGCCACAGAAAAGCCAGCTCCTCCTTCCATTGAACCTGTGGTGGGGCATTGGGACCCAGGGAAAGGGTCCTTGAGACTCTGCCCACACACACCCCACCCCACCCCA